TTTCGAGTCTCTGTCTTGTGAAATCCGCTATAGCGGGTGAAACACAACTATGGTGGCGGATTTATTTCCCGCTATAGCAAGAGATTCTGCTATAGCATCACTGCTATAGCAAGATTGGGCCGCTATAATGGGATTAGTCGCATTTAATGCAGAAAATTCTCAAAATTGCTCATTATTTTACAACATTTTTGGGGAGATAAGGGGTGACCTAGGGAGAATTTCATCTATCTTCCATCGTTATCATTGGTAAAGGTAAGTAAATTTGTTCCCTAGCTTGATAATTTGATTTTTAGGCCTTAGAATATATGGTAATTACTTTTGTGGAGGATTTGAATGAGTATAATGGTGGAAAACCCCTGATTTTGGTAGAGTTATCATGAAATTGGCCTGAGATTTGGGATAAGGATATAATCTAGGCGTATTTAGGCCATTTGGGTTTGATATATGTTATATTGATTGTTTGTAGATCAAGAATAAGCTAGTATCATAACACGGGGAAAGCTGAGGTTCAATAGAGCATTTTGGGCTTGATTAGAGGTAGATGATGGTTGTTTGTTTCCTGTTTATGTTATATGTTCTTGCTAACTGCTTCATCAATATTTTATGTATAATGTATGGCTAGCGAATGAAAGGAGTATAACGTGCAATGTTAGCTTGTGTCAATCTAATGCAATGAATATGTTTACTTGGGTGCACAAGTGTGAACGTATGCATTGTGATTGTGATTATGATTATAATGTATGATTGTCGGTTGGATTATGTACCACGTCTAATTCTTACTAAAGTTTGGCTCGGATACCATGTCTGGTACGTGATATCTTTTAGTAGGCTTGGGTGCCCTGCTTGGTACATATTAAGTTGCTCGGATATCACACTTAGTACATATCCGATTTAATTGGGTACCACACCTAGTACGGGATATCTATATGGTTGGATTGGGTACTATGCCGGTACAAATTACTAACGGTTGGCTCGTGTACCACGCCTAGTAAATGTGATTGTTGTGTGTGAGTTCCATAAGTGAATTGAGTTGTCTTTGTTGTAATGTTATTGATCTTGTTCATTGCGTATGTTATCTATTTTACTAGGTTGTGGTCATACATTGTGAATTTTGTGTACTAATACTGCACTTGCTCTTTCTTTGTAGAGTACAAGACATATTGCGGAGGCTGCTACACGACCTAAATTGTAACTCCAACACTTTTGAATCCAAAGGTGAACCTTATCTTCCGAGATGCTATGAATTCCTCTTTTCCCTCTAGTCCATTTTCTGAACTTAGGCTCTTGTTGTTTTGGGGATTCATCCCCACATTCTAGATTACATAGATGTTTTTGTAAACGACTTTCAGTTTCTAGGGAGTTACTTCCACAATATTTTGTGATAATGTTTGTTTATTTATGAAACTTAATTTTAAGTGTTGAATACTACTTCCTTTTGATGTTTAGTTGACGACATGTTAGTAGATAGTTGGCTTCCATCGGGGGTTAGTGGGTTGCCTCTCACGATGGATTGGATCATGATACACTAGGAAGAATTTTATTCCACTGAATATTTTCTAGTAGGATTTTCAACAAGGCAACCAATATGCATATTATTATATATGTGTATTTTCACTATTGTAGAATTCAATAGTTATAACTACTTCTTAAACACTATATTTAATTTTACCCTTTTAAAAGGAATATCTTTTTCTTCACTAGAATTTTTTCAACTAATTTTTTCTAATAAGATTTAATGAGTCACAATATCTATCAAATAGACATTTAAGGGTGAGTGCTCTTAATATATTTTATGTTATAGTGAATGCTTTTGTTTATCTTTTGGATAAAAGCTAAAGATATTTGCTTTGGAACTACATTTGTTTTTCCCTATAAATATAAGGATTTTCATTCATTGCATTTCATCTCTCAAGAGAAATAAGTTTTTCCACTTTTCTCTACCTCACTCTATGATATTTTTTTTCTTGATTTTTTATTTTATAGTAACATATATCAAACAAAAAATGACTTTTTTTGAAAATATTAAGATAAAATTTCTCATTTTGGATCTACTTGGACTAGATATCAACCAAATTTTTGATGGTTTAAAATGAATTGGGCTGAGATAATAAATATATAAGTCAATAAACAATCCATGAATAGAGTATATAATTGCTGAGATAATTGGTATCCGTATTCTTGCATTGTATTTGATAATTTTCTCTATTCCGATAGTACCGGTGGTTTCTGTTGAAAGTGTAAACATGTGATCTTTCATTATTGTTCTTTATTCCTTTGTCATTTCATCAAATAACATTCATTCAACATTCATAAGTTAATTTTTTCTTCTTCGAAAGATGTTCATTGTAGACACCTCATATAGAGTTTCGGTGTATCATTTTGACACTTGTTTTTTGACAATAAACAAAAAATTAAAGAGTGCAGTATACTCGTTGATGACGTGACAAACAGTCAATTAAATAATTACATGTGTTATTTTAAATTAAAAAATATTTTAAAATCTATTTAGTAAATAAAATACACTACGCGCAACAATTTTCTTTCTTTTTTTCTTTAATCTGATTTTTAAAATTGTTTCAAATCTTTTTTTTTCCTATTTTCATGTTGTTTTGAGAGAAAAAAGAGTGTGTGTGTGTGTGTGGGGGGGGGGGGGGGGGGGGGAAAAAGGGGGAA